ACCTATAAAAGAAAGTGAGTCATGTGGCGGGAATGCGAGGTTGGACCCTCAATTTCGGCTTTGATGAAAAGAGGGCTCGTAACAATCGTGTAATCAACTCAGCGCAAAACCCTAAATTTTAAGCGTGCATTCGTGGCCGAGCAAGAATTTTGTTCTACGTGCTCTAATCTAGCCAAAACCAAGTTTGTGTTTGCTCATCAAAGCTTTATGGGCAAGCAAGATGTCGTAATGATACAGCTAGCTACTACATTTTATGGTAGGTAAATGATGATAAGATACACACGCTCATCTTCTCCAGACCCTAATTCTAGGGTTCATGTCGCGTTTAGCATTACATTTGTGAGAGCCTGAAGGACTGATCCGATATGGGTCAAACCTAATGATATCTACAACTCACGAGCATCGAGGAATTTATTTTGCCTATATATAGATTCATGGTGCTTCTTTATATAGGTCGCCGATGCATGTACAAGTGCACGAATATATAATGTACTCCTACGTGCAAGCACATCAAGTAAACTTTGAAGCAATCTCGCCCCGTCTAATTTAGTTACCTCAACATTATTCTTAAATTTGACGTTATGTGCACCATTTCGTGTAATGTCGTCAAGATGATGGATGTTAACTTTACGGTCATCAATGGACCGGATTTTAGAAAATTTGTCGTGAACGCTTTTGTTTCTTTGTTTCCGTTTTTGCTCCTCTTTTCTAATTTTAACGATCTTGGTTGTCTCGATCAGACGTTGTTGTTTTTCTAGGGTTAGTAACATAAGGCCAAGGACTAAGACCCACCTCGAGTGGTTCATGTGACAAAACAGTGGATGCCACTGGGGCAAAAAGTTGACTTCTCATCACGGCCTTTGCATATCTTTTAATGACCAAGAACCCTAACATATTCTTTAAAAAGAAGATTGTTGTGTGCGCACGCAAGCAGAATCACGCCCTTAATATATTAACAAGAAACTACAATAATCAGCAATAGGCTCTTTCACCGATTATAACACGACGCTGGATTAAGTGATCCCATGTTAATCACATATTTAAGTCAACATGGGGATCTTAACCTTAGGAAAGAAAAGAAACACAAAAATCCTCTCGAGCTCGATCCACGAATCATGACGAAGGGCCTAGTGATCCACCGAGAGAGACATTATGGCAAGAAAAGAAGGAAAATCCACCGAGGGACATGTCATTGCGTTGAAGAGATGTCTCCCCCATAAAAAGGATTTTTCTTCTTGACTTTTTCCCAATTGGCTTGCCCTAGAAAGCAGCAAATTGAGACCCACAAAGGGAGTGGGGGATGCTTTCCTTCATAATTTCTCCATCCACCATGTTCGAGCAAAAGAAAAGAGAGAAGAAGACGAACGCCACCCACCATGGATTCATCACCCGTAGCGGCAACTGGGATGTCCCATGAAACGATCACATGGAAAATTTCAAAACATGGGTCGTACATACATGGTTCTCTCGAGGACAAGCATAGGATCGAATTGATCTTGCGCGAAGAAGATGTTACGTTACCAATAAAAAAAAATGTCGATCATTCAATCAAATATCTATACTTGTTAACTTGGCGTCACGCATTTAACTAAGTATGCTACTTCCCAGTGCCCTTGATCGGCAAAAGGCACGGTTGAGCGGACTTCGATGAGTGCACAAAATGCAAGTGTTTTAATGGAAAAGGAAGAATGTTGGTGAGTGTTAGGAATATATGGAAGTAATGTGACAGTTTTGCTTCTTATTTCATAATTTCAACGACATCAAACCTAACTCGTAGCCTCCCCTTTGTGGGAGGATGCACTGACAGGCTGTGGTACATTATGCATTGGTCTTGAGTAAAGAAGTTGAGAATTTCAATTGGTCGGCTTTGGCCCCCTGGTGGATCCCCAGCAAATAGTTTTCCTATTTTTGCTAGTCAACAATAATTCACCACATAAGGATTTTTGCTATTTTGGCTAACTAATGAAATGTCCACTTAATGTGGTAAGTATGCGAGGGGACATTTTATGACCGAAAAAACAAATAAATAAACGAGGGGTCATTTAATTCACAACAGCAATAAATAATTTATGGCAACTAAAATTTTGCCAACTATATTGCTAAAAAACCTACCAATAGTTGTCATTGTTATGTCTTTGGTTAGCAATTAACAAAAATAAGATATTACATTTCAATTATCATCAAACGGCTTTTATTTTATCCTCAACACTTAAAATTTAGTACTTAAATCTTCCACGATTGATCTATTTTTATCAAACAAAGCTGTCCTCTCTTGTTTTGGGCAAAAGAAAAGGGGGGAGAAAAGAAGCACCAACCATGTCGTTTATGAGGAATTAGAAGCCAAAAAGTCAATGATGCCAACTTGAGAAAGCAATCACTATAGAAAAGGGTCTCCTCGAATTAATATCACACATGTTGGAGGTTACATTTTAATTTTTCTCACAATAATAACGATATGTTCATGCAATATCGAACCATATTATAAAACTAAATCCCAACATTGCTTCAATTTCTCGGGCTGCATGACTCTGTTTCATTCCCCTTTTCCACGCCATTGGATACTTTGTGGAGCTCAAGAAATTACGTAGGACAGAGCAATGGCAGGATTCAAGACATCTCTGTCTCATCATTTCCTTAGAGAGAGAGAGAGAGAGAGAGAGAGAGAAGAGCGGAGACATCGAAAAAAGCTAATCAATGTTTGACCATTAGAGTCAAAAAAGCTAATGATAATCAAAGACCTTCTTGCTTTCTCATTGAATCGAAACTGAAAATACGTGAAGCCAGATGTAGTGGATCCTTTGTCAGACCACACACGATCTGAACATCCGATGTCACTAGGTTAAGCAAATTATAGAGCGCGTGTAATACTAGCTCCATGGGGAGACCTGATCTGTACCGACCATAACAATTCTAACTTTTATAAATTTTGAATACTCGTCAAGTTTTCGATGGCCTAACCCGTCAAAGGTTTGACGGTTGAACCATCTTTCGACAGGTTATTAAGAGCCCATTTGGTAATGTGCCGAATAGTGAAAATTTATGTTCTTTTGTTCCCAGAAATAGTTTGGGAACAGAAATGCGTTTGGTAAACTTTTTGTTCCTCGTCACATTTTTGCAAAAATTTGTGCTGAGAAACAGTTTTGGAAGAGAAACAAGAAGTAAAAAAAAGTTGCTTGTTGTTTCTCGGCACAATTTTGAGAATCAGTTTTTTTTTCTTTTCTTATTTTTGTGTTGTTCTTCCCTGGCTGAGCCGGCCGCCGTGCCGCGGCGACCGCCTGCCCCAGGGCGGCGAGGGCGTCACGGCTCTCGCCGGCGAGGGCGAGGGCCGGACCTCGCCGCCCGGGCGAGGCGGCCTCGCCGTCGCGACCCACGGCGGCCGACCTCGCCGTGGGTCGCGACGGCGAGGCTCGGCCTCGCCCGGATCTGGCGAGGCCGAGCCTCGCCGTCGCGACCCACGGCGAGGTCGGCCGCCGTGGGTCGCAACGGCGAGGCTCGGCCTCGCCGGATCTCGGCAAGGCCGAGCCTCGCCGTCTGCGGGCGAGGCCGCCTCGCCCTCGCCGGCGAGGGCCGTGACGCCTCGCCGACCTCGGGTGCCGGTCGGCCGGCGACCGGCCATGGCAAATGAAGAAAATGGGTAAAAAAAAATTAAACAATTCAAAATATTATTAAAATATTATTTGGGAACAGAAATTTTGTGTAGTTACCAAACACATTTCTGTTTTTTTCTACTTTAGGAATAGAAATTTTGGACAGTTTATCAAACGCCTTTAAATACTCAGAAATTATTTCCGGGCACAGAATAAAAAAAAATCATTTCTGTTCAGAAATAGCTTCCGGGCACAGAATGGTATTCATGCGCACCCTAAACGTCCGACCACGTGGTCTAAGATACCTTCACCTCTTTAAAAGATGCGAAGTTGACTAAAAAGCACAAATTTCTCTTTATAATATGAATTGATGTCGTGCGGTTAGTTTTGTATATGTAGGAGTCGTATTTTTGGCAAGTTTAGGGGGCAGATCTCAAGCCTCCTTGTGCCTGAAAGAGCTTAGTTTGGGATATTTCTATTATCAAAACCAAGTTAATTAATTCAGCCAGCTCAAATCGGCCTCCCTTCCATACCTCATGTTAAGTCTGTATACTAATTTGACTTTAAGCCCATTAGTTTCTAAATAGACAAGTTGTTCTAACTTTTAAAAAGAAGTGTTAAAAAAACAATTTCGGGTGTTCAATAGTGTAGTAGCGCCTGACCCGTGCCTCCAGCGCGATGCAAATAATAGTAAATGCAACCATTCTAATCAATTTTTTTGTATAATTAAGAGGTTATATCATAAACGATCTTCTGGAGAAAAGAAAAATAAAAGTGAAGAACTCACACTTTTGTTCGAAAATATTTTACACTTTACAAGAACGCATTACTTAGTTGAAATTATTGTCCAATTAATTTTTTAATAAAAAATTTTCTTGTGTGTTGTACTTTTGAAAAGAAGTTCGCCACACCACATTTTAAAATAAAAAACTTACACATGAAAATAGCCAATAATCTACTTTTCATGAAATAGATCATTGCCGGCTCACCCAGATAAAGTACATAGAAAGTGTGCAGATCACTTGAAGAACACTCAGATTAACGGATATAATTCGACAAAAGTGCAATTATTACGGAACAAAATTTGTCCGTTTTGCGTAGAGGTCAACTACGTTTCTTATACTATGTGAAAGTTTTAAGACATAAAATTAGTAAAATTTAGTGCAAAAGGAATATTTATACACAATAAACTTCACACAAAAACCAAGTTGTGTTCTCCGGTAGTGCATCGAAACGTGCCACGTTGTGCCGTGTCTAGAATTGATGACGCCCATAAGAATGTCAAATGAGAAAGACAGCACATCCCAAACTTCCCCGAAATTGTCCCCCCCCTCCTTCCCCCACACCACCCCCCTTTTTTAAAGGCTTTTTTGTGTGCTAAGATGTATAGTATCAACATCCAAAAATTGGACGTTCAGGATGAAACGGAACTCTAGAGATTCATCAATAGGCCTAATGTCACAACTAAGCACAAGCTAGCTACAGGAAGGTAGAAATGAGCGACCACCCATGTCAAATATTTCGAGATACACAACCCCTCTTCTGCATAATTCCTCACCTCATGGGTCGCAATATTCTGCCGGGATATTCATGCTTGGTGTTATCAAAAGCTTCTACTTCAGCTTAGGGTTGGATCACAGGAATGACGCTGCAGACAAAAAACTTAATTACCAAACATATACACTTTGAAGTACATGAAAATGCGCGCCCCCCCATCCGACCCTTCCTACAACCAAAAATGCCAAGGATCCGTGGGATGCCTACTTGTTGGACCGATGGCCAACGGATATGATATCAATACCTTCAAGTGTGCGGTTGGTCAGTCGTCATCAGATAAGCATACAACATCAGAGGTAGCATTAGAGGAGGTTAAATTATCCCTTTGTGAAGGGGGAATGGCGATTGGAGGACGAAAACAAGGGACATCCATAAACAGATCACTTCCCAAGTCAATAGGTGGAAACCCTCCTGCAGATCCTCCGCCATGATGCCAACTACTTGGACCTGCTGGGCCCGCCGGTGGTGCTGCTGCCGATGGAAACTGCTGAAGAGGGGTACAAGTTGGAGGCGGGTTGCTAGGTGGCTGCTGATTAGGCAACCCCTGCAAAGGGGTGCCTGAAGATGCAACTGAAGGCCTGAAAACTTGGAGATGTGGGGCAGGAGAACGAATATCACTGGGAGCTTGAATGTTTGCTGATGGTGGCGGCACGCTGAGGCTGATCTGGGGCGGTCTGGATGCAATACCAGAGGAAACAGCCGGACTATTGAGGATGGTAACTCCAGACGGGCCCACATTCTGCAAGCTTGCCAAACTGGGAGGAAAACTCTCTGAGCTTGTGAATGGAGTGCCAGCAGTGCCAACCCGGTTTGACTGAAGGCCAGCAGAAGGGCCACGAACTGGCAAAGACTGATGTGCATTACGCTGTGATGATAACTGTAGCAGCTGCTGCATGGAACCAGAAGCTACATCTGCATAACAATGGTTGATGAGCAATTTGGCATCAAAAGCGAATGCAAACCCAGGCCTATTAACATGTTCAATATACAAAGTGCTAATATTATGACAGCATGCATGATGATGACTATTTTACTTTGCAGTTTTACAGAGAAAACTGCAAAAAAATTGGTGTCCCAGTGCACAAGGCAGCCCACACAGCTCTGGTCTGGGGAACATTCGATGCACGCAGCTTTATCCCTGAATTTTCACAGAGGCTGTTTTTGCTAAACGAACGAGTGACTCAGGCCACAACATGGAAAACTGCATCTGGTTCACAAAAATATAGAAAGGAATAATGCTGCTGGAATACATATTTAGGTCTCACATGGCATTGAGTCTTGATATGGACAACAATCAGTGAAAGCATTATTGCAAAAAGAGTTCCAGGTTGTATTTTACTGTTCCAAGTATCATTAGGCCACTATTTTCTAGAGATGGAACATGAAACGACATAATGAATAGAAAAACATCAGTTCAAATGATTTTGGAAAGAAAGTCACTGTGAATTGAGGGAAAAAAACATAAACATCAGAAGTACAAATTCTTGACATCAAAAATCAAAAGGGCAAAAACTTTATATATGCTTCTGGAAAAAAAAAATCTAGCGATTTGCAAACATCAAAAGATATTAATCCTTTGACTATTAACAAAAGTATTTGGGGTTATGCCAGATGTGAACTTCTATGCTGTGAATGAAGTTGATATCTCTAGCGAGCCAAACTTAACTGGTTGAACGCAAAAGTAACCTGAACCAAACCAACAACTTTTTTTAATTTCCTAAAAGATGCGGCCAATAATTCGTGAAATTCTTAATTCACACGTTAGAAAGTAATTTCCAATGGATGAAATTATTAAAAATACTTGTTTCTCAATGCAATGTAGAAAGAGACAGAACAAAATCAAACCACATTGTACTGGATCTCTGAGCTGAAAGTACTTTGGCCTGAAGAAAACCAACCCATTGCCATAGGTCACATTTTCCTTTCAATATTTTGTTAAAATACTGGTTTCTCGATGCAAGGAAGAAAGGGACAGAACATAATGAAACCAGATTGTTCTAAATCTCTTTGTTAAAACCAATCCATTGACGCCTACCTATAAACTCATCAGACTCTGTTATAATATCATAACTCACCAGATTCCAAAGAGCTTTCAGTTCGTATTTTAATATCACGTGCAATTTATCTGAAAAATAAGACATATCAACACTTCACTTCTTCTTGTTTAGCCGTACTTCAAAATACTTCCGAAGTTAATTCATCACGTTCTCTATCTGACCAGCCAATTGTAATCACAACGTGCACTCTTTAATGAATGTTTTCATTTTCTCATGCAACTTCACACAAAGAAAGCCAATCACTTAGACCAACAGAAGATAAATTAGGACATATCACTATGATGTAATTTGACAGTCAGAGATCCAAAATTTACAGAGAGACAAATATTTGCTTCGCTGATCTTGCCTGGTGTGACGTATAGGAATCTGATGTCATTCAACAACCAAAGTAGCATTTGTTCGATCTCCATTGGTCAAATTTATGAATCTTGGGGTTCGAGATAATACAGTAGTCATGGTGAGCACTAACCATCAAAAGCTTGAAGAGATTGAAGTTGGACCAAATGATTATAACCATGCTTCTCGTACCAATAGCACCTCAATGGTAGACATATAGTCTCAACAAAGTAGCCAACTATTACTCTCATCATCTGGAATTTTATATACTCGGCTCTTTTCCACTTGCATCAATTTATTTGAAGATTGAATGGTGTTACGAAATTATAATTTGATCGTTTCATAATTAGGTGATTCATTTTCCAAGTGCAAACTATGAAGCACACGCAGGCCTTGCCTTGCTTATAGGAACATTAGTTTCATCAAGATAGTATTACATGAAATTCTGGTTAGCTCATTCATCAAATATAAATCAAGTAATATGGCCACAACCACACTTACCTGACATGTTCACAGAAGTGCAGCCTTTTCTTTGTTATTATCTAAATAAAAATTTGTTTGAATCCCAACACATTGATCACATATAACATGACAGTAATTGAGCATTGGAAACATCAAACTTTCTCTATTGGTTATTAATAAGTTCCCTGAGGCACTCATTAACAAAATCCTTACATTAAGCCTTATCTAATGGTGATTGTCAGTATATAACATATTACTTGCTCTCAAGGTCATAATACGGGATATGTGTTTCTTTATTAGCCAAGGATTTAATACTGCAAACAAAATCTCGATTTCCCCAATGCAAGTAGGATCTCGCCCCTTCTATACAACAGGATGCGAGCAACATATAAATTCAATGCAAATTTCTTCCAGAGATCAGATAATTCTATAGCATGTCCGGCGCGCATGTATGCACGTGCTAAGAAACGGACAAGCAAGAATGGGATGCTTCTAACATGCTCGTGAATATGAAAGGTACATTTACATACGAAAAATCTATCAAGTGCAAGGCATGTATGCACCTAATAGCTCTCTTAAATGGTATGATGACTAACAAATGGAAAGACAAAGTGTGCACACATCTCCAAGACTACGCACCTTGTTGGATTCCATTTGCGCCAGACGCCCTGATATCAGACCACTTGGATTTGAACGCCTCAGCTAGCATCTTATTCATCAGAACTTTGCGGTGATTCATGTCAAGTTCCTTCTTTTTAGGAAGATATTCTGCCTCAATCTCCTTAAGTTTCAAATCATACTTCCTGCGAATTTGTGCGACAATTTCCTCTATCTCCATGTCGCGATCAGATACCAGTAGCATTTTCTGCTCAAAGGAATGTGAATTTACGAAAATTAGAATATTAAATGTTAAATTCTATAAAAAACGAGTGGAACCTCTCATGAGCTAAACATAATGTCAAGAAGTAACTCACCGCATCTTCATGTGCTTTGTCCATCTGGTCCATTTCCCTTTGCATTCTGTCCAGCTCATTCTGAAGAGGGTCCGAGTGCAATTTCAGAGGCGTTCTGGGTTGTACCATTGGAAATGGACTCTGTAACAGCTGAGTGTTACTTTCCACAGAAACGGATGCAGTTGAATTGCCTGAGCTCTGTGCCACCATCCTCCCACGAGGAATGCTGACTGCAGATTCCGACATTGCTTGATGAGGAGGCATGGCAGGGTTTTCATCAACTTGTGTTGACTGAAAGTGAACAGTTAGATTAGAAGTCTCTCCCACTCCCTGGAGTGGAGTCGCAGTTCCACTGACTAGAGCTAAATCATGTGAACTGTGGTTAAGAGGCTGATCTGGTGGCTGCGGAAGCACTGGAGGCTCCATATCTGCTGCTCCAGAGAAAGATGATGTAGCATTACAAGTACCAGATGATAGAAAAGCAGTTTGTTGAGAAGCATTATGCTGCTCTTCGTCGGGTGCATTTCTCTCTTGCATGCTGGTGGACGGGGCACTAAAATCATCTCCCAACTCCTGGTCAGGTAAGGTCTGTAACGAACCAAAAGAAAAATCACGACATTTATAATACTACAGAGAGGGCATAGATCACACATGTTTGCCACGCATTCATATGAAGACTTGAGTATTTAAAGGTAAAGGAGGGTGGCTATCAACATTATGCAGATCATAGAAGACATACGTGATAAGATGATATGGAAGCACCCTCAGCATTATGCTGCTCTTCATCAGGTGCATTTCTCTCTTGCATGCCAGTGGATGCTGCGTTACGATTAAATCTCAACTCCTCTTCAGGTAAGGTCTGTGATAGAGACATACAGAAAATCTTGTCATTTATACCCTGAAGCCTTTATGAGAAAATATTTGTACAATGAACCTGCTCTGCTCTTTATGAATGCTAATGATGCAGAGACATCCTGGTGTTCAGGCATTCATATCAAGAATTGAGCATTAATAGGGAAAAACAATGGACATCAACATCGACATCAACATCACCAAGAGCATTAATAAAAATACATGACAAGACTACATAAGAAGCAACCTCAGCATTATGCTGCTCTTCATTGGTTGCATTTCTCTCTTCCATGCTGGTGGATGCGGCATTACAATCATCTCTCAACTCCTGGCCAGGTAAGGTCTGTAATAGACATATAAAAAATCATAGCATACGTTAAATTTTAACATACCCTCAAGCCTTTATGGGAAAATGTTTGTTCTGTGAAATATTACTCTGCTCTTTATAATGCCAATAAAGCAGAGAAGGCATACACCCAATCATGGTTTCCACTTTCCAGGCATTCATGTCAAGAATTAGCAATCAAAGGAAAATTAGGGCTTAATAAACATGGTCGAGAGTGTAGAAAAACATACAAAATAAGAAGGCATGGAAGCACCCTCAGCATTTTGCTGCTCTTCATCAGGTGCATTTCCCTCTTGCGTGATGGTTGGTGTGGGGTTACAATCATCTCTCAAATCCTGGTCAGGCGCACTCTATAATAAACATAAAGAGTCATTTATACACTGAAGCCATTATGAGAATAGATTTTTTCTAGGCCAAAAAAAGAGAAAATTCCACTCTTTATGCATGCTAATAATGCAGCGAATGCATATACGTCCACATCATGGTTTTCAGGCATGCATACCAAGAACTGATTATGCCAAGGAACAAAGGATGAACATCAACGTTTTGAAGATCATAGATTAACATACATGATGAGATGTCATAGAAGCAACCTCAGCATCATGCTGCTGTTTACCAGGTGCATTTTTTTCTTGCATGCTGGTGGATGTGACATTACAATCATCTCTTGACTCCTCATCAGGTAGGGTCTGTAATAATCAAATAGAAAAATCATGTCACTAAATTTGGAAGTATACTCCGGCTTTCATGAGAGAATATTGTTCTACGGAAAAGCTAGTTTAATCTTTAGATTTAATACCACAAAAACCTCAAACTGGTACATCTGTGTCACATTTAACCCAAACTAATTTGTGTCACAAAAGCTCCCAAACCGGTACATTCGTGCCACATTTACCCAAACCAGTGTACTCGTGCCGCATTTATCCCAAACTAATTTTTATGTCACAAAATATACTAAACTGGCACAACCGTGCCACATTTACCCCAAACCGGGGCACCCGTGTCACATTTACCTCCAAAAAATCCTAGAATTACTATTGTTTGGGGTAAATGTGGCACAAGGGTACCCGTTTGGGATTTTTTGCGACCCAAAAATTGATTAGGGGTAAATGTGGCATGGATGTACTGGTTTGGGAGTTTTTGGACACAAAAATTAGTTTGGGGTAAATGTATCATGGGTATACCAGTTTGGGGATGTTAGCGGTATTAGCCCTAATCTTTATAACACTAAAAGTGCAAAAGAAGAGATGTCCAATAATGGTTCTGAATTTATTCATGTCAAGAACAGATATACAAAGGAAACCGGGATGGATATCAACTTTCTCAAGAGCATGGATAACAAACATGATGAGATGATGTAGAAGCAACCTCATCATTATGTCGCTCTTCATTGGGTGCATTTCTCTCTTGCCTGCTGGTGGATGTGGCATTACAATCATCTCTCAACTCCTGATCAGGTAGGGTCTGTAATAATCAAACAGAAAAATCACATCATTTACCAAATTTCAGTGTACCCTCCAGCATTTACGAGACACTATTTGTTCAACAAAAAATCATGTCATTACTAAATTTCAGTGTACACTCCAGTATTTAGGAGACAATATTTGTCCTATGCCAAAGTAACTCTACTCTTTATTTATAGGGCATGTCCACTAATGTTTTCAAGGACTGATATCAAGAATTGGGTAAACTCTAACAAGGATAATATTAACACTGTCGAGACCAAAGATAAACATACACAGTGAGATGACACAGAAGCTCCCTCGGCAAAGCCGCTTGATGGTGGCACTGTAGTTGACTTTGATTGATTAACCAAGGGAACTTCACGAGGTCCATCACTGGGATGGACAGTCTCAAGTACTTCAGATTCAGATCCATTGCATATTTCCTTTTCTGATCTATTTGGATCTGGAGAGATCATATCCTCCAGTTCACCTGATATACAAATATTCTCCTGCACCTCCACCGCAGGTAGTTCATCAAGTGCTTCCTCTCTTGAACCATCAAGAATCTGATCATCCGAGGAGCAAGCATTCAGAGAGCTAATATTCTCCAGAGCATGACCAGGGGCCCCAACTTTGTCTATGCCATCAGGCATCCTTGACATTGATCGATTAACCAAGGCAACTTTATGAGGTCCATAATTGCAATGGGCATTATCAACCACTCCAGATTCAGATCCATTTGGCAGTTCCGTTTCTGATACTTCTGGATCTGGAGAACTCGATCTCTCTGGTAAATTCATTAAATGAACAATCTCTTGCGCCTCCAGTGGAACCGGCTCATCAATTGCTTCCTTTCTTGAACCATCAGGAATCTGATCCACCAATGTGCAAGCATTCAAAGTGCTAACATTCTCTGGAGCATGGCTACTGATAAAATCACCTTGTGAATTAACAGGAAGATTCTCCCGATAACAGGGATTTAGAGAAACAGCATTCCCTTGGTTGTCTATTGGTATTCCATTAGCACATAGCCCCACCTCTGTAGAAACTGTTCCTGAAGCCACGGCATTCATCTCATCATTGTCACTGCCGATCCTAACCGGAAGGCAGTCCTTTTCAGCACAGACAATTGCATCAACACTTTGGTCAGACAAGGGAATCGATAAAGGGTCCGCACTATCAAGTTGATTATGACAATTGTAACTTTCCTGACCATGCCTGGCTTCGGGCAGCTCATTCAGCAATTGCACTTGCATTGAGCACCTGTCTCCCTCTACTAGAGAAGGATCCTGCTGAACTCCATTTGCTGAGGCTAGACATTCAGCCTCAATTTGTTTAAGGCGCATGGCCATCTCACGTGAGCATTCTTCAATTTTTGTAGAGCACTCCCTGTCCAATCTCTTCAGCCTGTCTATTTTTGTTGAACCACCAAAATGCAAACGAACAATTGCAGCCTCCATTTGATGATTATTCTCATGCAAAACCTTCTGCGCCTCATATTCTCTACATATTTCATTCTTCCTCCTTTCTAGCTCCAGCAGTATCTGTTTCTGGTTCTGAATTTCTCTGCCACTTTCAGAAATATCTCCCAATGTCAATCCAAACTCATCCATAAATTTAGGACTAGAAATGACCTCATTACTGGAGGATCCTTGAAAGGTACAATCTTCAATCTCTACTTTAACAGTTTGGAGGCAAGGCATAGCTGGCAGGGGCGACTTCACACCAGATTGCTCCATCTCAAGCACTTTGTCTTTCAATTCTCCATATTTCAAGGAATCGACCGGTAAATTCTTTCTAAGGTGGAGAAACATTTTCTTTAGATGTCGCAACATCAAATACACATGATCTGCCTCTTCTTTCTTGCACTGGTAGTTCAAATGCTTTTTTGCAAGCTCAAGAGATTCCGTGTGATCTATTTTTTCCTTTGATAAAGAAACTGCAGTCCAACACTGGATTTTAACAAGTTTGTGAGTAGACTTATTAAAAGGAGTATATATGCACAATAGCACTGAAGCTGCCGAGATTAATAATGAATTTTTTGTATCCATTTATTTGGGTATGCAACAGTGCATAGATAGGGAAAATTTTAATCAGGCCTAAAGTAGAGGATTTATAGTCCAACTCGGCTATTCTTCAACGTTAGAAGACCAAGAAATCATCTGATATGCAAATAAAGGTAATTATTTATGTTCCACTTATATCACAAGCAAAATGCCAAAAAGTCTTGCTCTCAATCCAAGTTAAGACATCCTCAAGGAACAAAACAGCAATAGGCTTTAAGACAAGAAAAGAGACTCAAAAGATACAGCGATCAAAAGTATCTACGCCACGGAGAAGATCTCACGCAGGACAAGGAGCAAATAGTCGGCCAGAAAAAGTAGTAATCCAACTTTCAAATGGTAACTTGGTTAAAAAACCATAAAATCCATTGAAAAACCATGGTATCAGCTAGAAATGGCAATCAGATAAGACACAGGCATACAGCAATGGGCCACTATTTTCTCCAGGGTTGGAGAGAAAGTTCCTCCACCCAGGCCTCCCATTGGTGGTTACCTACTCAACTGGCACTTAAGTGTGACTATAACTAACTAATCTGAAGCCTGGTTGGGGAACTTTCTTCCAACCATGGTTGGCGGAAAACATGGCTCTTTTTTGATATGATACAAGGGGATTTAGTTACGGTCACATGTCAGTTAGAGTTGACTATGAAACCACTGATAAGACACCTAGTTGGAAGAACTTTCAAGAGAGTGTGGCTTTGTTTCAATGATCATAGAGGACATCAAAAAAGACAGAGTAAACAAAACCAAAAGCATCTTAAACTTAAATTCCCATAAACATTTTAACTGAAACACACTGGTTTATAATTAATGGTTAGCGAAACAAAATAACTTGAAAAAAATAATATTCTAACCAGAGCTAACTGGAAAGCTTGCAGAATACTCGCTGGTTCCCGGCTGACATGATGGTTATTGATTACGTAATCAAGGAAGATATCAACCATACCCTTGATATTATCCTGGATATAAAGAAGTATTAGAAGTTAGCATAGTGTAGTACTTGGTAACGGTCAAAAAGATAAGATAACACTCACGATACTGAAAATCAGAAACTTGAAATCAGCTTGACAGCTTGGTGCTATAATAACACCCATGATTTCACAGCATAAAACTCAGGATCCAAAATACAGACAGTATGGACAACACTAGTATCTATGGAACCAGTTGATGCTTAGCCCCAATTATCTAGCAACAATGACAAATGGCACCCATCTACAATCAACATGAGGATCGAAGGAACCGATATTGAAAATAATTATTTACTGAAGGAGGCGACATTTGTGAAGATCGGACGCAGATGAGCGCAAATGTTGACATTATCGAGAGTATTGCTGGATGCTGGGAACAGTACTTTTCACCTTTACAGGATTATACAGTAAGAAAGAATCATGTTTAGAACAACCAAGCAACCAATTGTCCTAAGCAGCGGGCTTACCTATGTAACCCAGTCTTTATAAAATAAAATTGAAAAAAAAAACCATCTTGCCTAACAAACAATCTGAAACTTGGGACACATTAACAATAGAATGAAGTAACAAAGGCTCACTCAACATGCTCCCCATCAGTAAAAGAATTCTTTTTCCAGAGAGAGAAAAACCATACCGACAAATTTAGCAAGTCACTAAGTCTCGAGATTTCCGGTTTCAGCAAAAGATGGAGGCTCCTCTGTGCATCACGCAACTTTCTTCCCTCATCAGAGTCAACCATGTTACCTTCAGGTATAGCTGCCAAATCTTCTCCTCCAAGAGATTTAATAAATGGCCTGGAAGTCCCTGAAAAATGATGTTTTGAAACGTAAAGAGACTAGGACATCTAAGTTTGCCCAACAAAACATATTAAGAGAAGAGAATCCAGTGCAGGTGCCACAAAATGTAACTAAATCTACTCCTTTGCAATACCTTCCTTGTTAGCAGCAACCTTTTTCTCCCCATCTATTCGCTGCTTCCTAGACGACAGAGATATGCTATTATTTGTCAACTTCTTGCGTTTCTTGTCCAGCTGATTACTGTCAGACTCAACTTCTTCTAATATATTGACATTTGATTGAACCCTTTTTCTGTTCCTTGGGGTTGAACCAGACAAATATTTCCAGCAAGGATGCTTTCCTTCCAATAACTTTGTCCAGAAAATATGCGGTAAATCTTCAGCAGTGGACTGAATCTTCGACTCACCAACCAAGGGAAAATCTGTGCAGTAAGTTCCCGAAGTTTGCTGCGCTTTGACAATGACAGATCTGCTCTTAACACTGTTATCATTCTGGAGAAGCAGAGCCAGAAACTCCTGAACCACAGAGTTTGCAAGCAATTGATCAGACAATGCCATGGAAGACACACTAGAGCTGCCATGGAACTCGTCCAATCTACACATTAGATACGACGCCCCCCACATGAGTAACGTGTGGCTAGTGCTTCGACTTATATTTTGCAGTTTGCTCTCAAGGTGTATGCCTTGCTTTGCACATATCAATGCCTTTTCTTCCACCGTACAGGACAAATAAAAGCGGAGTACTTTTATTTGGACTTGAGATTCAATTGTTAATTTCTGCAAATTCTTTAAATCACTAGCAGGATTCCAGTCACTATCAAATATAATCACCATATCAACTGATGACAATTTGATGCTAGGATTACAGGCCCGATTCTCCAACAAAAACACAAATCTTCCCAGCTCCTTGTCATTAAACTTATTCAAAGCAGCCTGTTTCTTAGAAGGGAGAATGCCACCATCGACACGTTCATATGAATCTGCACCAAATCTCTGACGTAAAAAGTCATCCAAAATATCACCAGTCAAATCTCTTCCTGAACCACCAATGGACTGCCAACCAAGAAAATGGGAAAATGGTCCCCACAAACAACCAATGATCATTATCAGTTTTTCAATAAAATAAGCAGCAAAGATAGGATCAAAGAAGGCCAGGGTTAAAGCTCTTGAGGAAAATTTTGAAGTTTTTGCAACTTTTATGGGGAATCTCCTTTTTAAATATCCTATTATTCTTGCTTTTGATGAGAATAACTGATTGAATATAATTTAAAATAATTGGCCTCTATTCCAGTATCTCGTATTCAGAATATAATACTATTTATGAGAAATTCTCCTTTCTCCATGAGGTAAGCATAAGTGAAAACCGCACAAGGTAAAGTATATACTCTTCCCAATGACATTTTAGAGGCAATCCTCTATGTTGATTTAGAGACCTGCAAGTACATTAGCCTATCAATGACCAGTCATCATTATCCATCCAGGGATGAAATCAATTCAGATAAGCTCCCCGACCCCAAAACACATCGAGATAAATGCTTTTGTCAGTAAAAAAGGTTCTAACAGCACATAAGGTCCCTAGTTACTGCACTATAAAGCAATAAAAATTTTAATGTCACCGGGTCCCTCCCCGTTTTAGCTTAACTGAAAAATATCGACTTCCAAACACCAGAAGAATAGTGCGGGAACCATAAATCTCTTCCCAAAAGTATGTACCTCTTCCACACATCAAGCTCTGCCATTAAATTGTCCCCTGCACCTAACATCACATTCGATTGATTTTAAGTCACGCGATCTTCAAATACTAAGATGTACAAAACAAGGCTTATTGACTTTTTGATCTTTTTCAATTCTTCTGAAAATTAGCAGCAGCAGAGTTTGCTGATATTTTTCCTACTAGCACCATGTACTCTGATATCCTGCCACTAGAAGGTAAGCCATCATGAGGCCTAAATAGCCCAAGTTCCAGCAGCAGCAAAAGCAGGATTCAATTTCATTTATTTTATTTTATGGTGTTGGGTGGGTAGGGTTAACAGAATTTAAAGATTTTGTCAGGGTCAGAGAAGTCCAACATCCTCACCTGAAACAATATAAGAACTTTCAGGCGCTGTCTCTTTAACTCCAAAAGCAACCTATCAAGAAGCTGAAGTTTCCCGCTAGCTTTTATTCCAACATCTAAGTACTCAATTGGTTGAAGATCTTTCGTCAATGAGCCTTGAAGAGATGGATCGACATTGTATGGATGATTACAACACTGTCAAAAGAGGCACCATAATAACAAAATTAAAAACTTTAGTAGAATTGAATCTCAAAGAATAGCCTTTTCATCTTCCCATCACACCTTATTGAGAAATTGTATTCCATATCCATGCAAAACTTTCAAGTGAGAGCTCTACCATATGATGTTTAATGGTTAGAAATCTTGAGAAAGTTTTCAGACACCCAAAAACTTTAAATCATTGAACAATTTTTGCCATCAAAAGCCAAAACTGAGATTCTTAAGCGCTCCTAAGTTTTCAGACACCCAAAAACTTTAAATCATTGAACAATTTTTGCCATCAAAAGCCAAAACTGAGATTCTTAAGCGCTCCTGAAGTATCATGCGGCTCGGCTGTTAATTTGTGTTCTCGTGTCAAATTTGAATTGTCAATTCATGATGCTTTCGTTGAACATGGTTAATTTTAAATTCGTGTCGTCTTCAAATTTATCAAAATTTGCTTCCATGAAAGTGTCAGCTCATGTCAATTAGTGTAAGAAACTTGCACCCGTATATCCACCCAAACAATCACAACAAGCCATAGCTTTATACAAAATCTTTTTCTTTAGAGAAAAATAAGGAAGTTTATAACACTTTGCACTCGTTGATTGGTTGGATGGATAGACACATGGTCCACTGGCCACTGGGAAGTGGCGAAGTGAAGAATGAATAGAAAGATCCAAATTTTTGAGCTGAAGAACCAGATACACCACAGCATACAGCAGTAATCCCGCTGTTCAAGGGCAAAAATGTCCTTAAAACACTGAAGTCAATATACTTGCTTAACAAATCTCTCAAATTCAAAGAGTAGACCTCGTCATTTGTTTTTTGCTTCACTGATGTAGAAGTATACAGAGTACATTGGCATACTTAAAACACACAACCGCTATTTAAAGAAATGATCAGTAATTGTTGACATCAAGTCCAAGAAGCAAAATCATCAGATTTGTCCTTCCAACATGTCAGACCCACTTTAACAGGATAAGACGGACCTAATTCCTAAAGAGATTGAGTAAAATGAGGGAAAAAAAGCAAAAGACTCTTTGAGGTTGCAATATGAAATTAGGGCTTCAGAGTTCTCATTCATTAGAAAAATACTAAACCATATTCCAAAAGAAAAACTAAGTGATCGGATATAACCATAAAATCTATGATAACATAAATTGAATATAGGACGCTAGTCCTCCAAATCCCAAAATAAGGGTAAGATGTCAGCATTTTGTAAGATAGACTAAAACTGACAAGAACTCCATAGAGAGAAGAAGTAAGGCAGACATTCCCACCCAAATTAAATGACACATCAAAAGCAAAAACTAAAGTATATGCAACATGTGTGGGCAGGGCTGCAGCCTAGCCATGCACTGTATAACACACCATATCATGTTGTGCAAACAACTGAATGTTTTGACACATAGGTTTCAGCCGCATGAAAAACAAAAAAGAAACAGCTTTACTTTTCCCCATTCTTTTTTTTAGAAAGAGTTTCAAAACTATCAAAAAAAAGTTGAATAGCCAAAAGGGCAATAAACATTGAATTGCAGAAAACAGGAACTTCGGTTGTTTGAAGTTAAACATCACATACTAAGCCTTGATGGAATAAATATAATCATTGATCATCCAGAAATTGTGAAATAATGCAATTGAGGAAAAAGGTAAACCCCCAAACCTTCCGAGTAGAGAGAAGGATATCATGTAGCACACCAACAAGGTCACCTTTTGATGATGAACAGAGCGACAGAGAGTTTGAAAGTAGAGTAGCACAATACTGTTCAAGCTGCACATTTGATATTTGTGTTGGAACCCAGTACTCCACAAATCTAGACGAATCCATCCTGCCCTCAACTGCAGTATAGCTCAACAGCTGCTCCTTTGGCTTACACACAGTCTCTTGAGACTTGGTTGCCAATGCATTCCTACTTTCTTTGTCACCAGGATCAAGCATGGAGAGCAGTTTATGGTACTCGGAGACATGTTCCTACAAAAATGGGTACCAGTAAGTAAGACAGCACATGGTACTGGGTGGTAATATGTGTGCACTTAAAATATAAACCTTCGGTTTCCCATTAAAGAGAAGAAGCCTCGTTTGGTTCTTTAGCTTCTTAAATTCTTCAAGAAAGGACAAAGTTCCAGGTTGTTGGCATTCATCAACTACCAATGCTTCCCATTCTATTTGTGTCAGAATATCCATATCCTGCAAAAAAAATGGTGACAATTTTTAGACATTACAAGTCAGAAAAGGTAAATGAAATTCTATGCAGCAGGGGATTTCAGTTTGCAAGGTAAACTGGGAATAGAGTCAAAATGATATCAAAGATGAGACACATGAGAGACAAAATGAAGGAAGAATAACAGAGGTGAGATGTCTCAATGAAAAGATAACTACTATAGCCCTGGGCCCTGAAGATAATTGCCAATTTCAAAGTTGTTGACAAAGCACAAAAGAGAAAATATAAACACCTCGACAATGGCCTCTGGAGGAGATATAAGCACTTGAAACACAATGGAAGCTCCTTCCTCAAAATATTCCAGTTTCCTAATACGTCTACGAGCATCTTTGCTTCCATTGTAAATCACAACATTAACAGTTGGTGCCAGACGAAAAAACTCCGCATCCCATGAATAAACTGAGGTAGAAGGTGAAATGATAAGAAAAGGAAGACAGCCATCACATTCGAGCGATAAAATAAATGATGTGACCTTCGAAATGTGTTCCTGCAAGGCAAAAAGTAGCCTTATCAGCCATGACCACATGTTAGTTTATGATCTACCACTAGGTCCAACACAGCAGCAAATTTCCAAGAAATGTCCACAAGCACATGCAATAAACAAAAACATTTTTAAATGATCTATGCATGCATATTCTCCTTTTCTCCACATTTTCTCACATGGAATATCAGACTCGCTGATACTATCCATGGGTCCCGCATAGCTTTTATATAGATATAAATTGCAACAAGTGATCTCTGCATCGTCATAGGGAATCAAGTAAATAATAATGAGGACATCAAGTAAGCTTTTCCCCACTAGCTGCCGGAATGATGGAAGGGAACAAAAAAGAGATAAAAAGAAGAACGACAAGAAATAAAAAGAGGGAGGGATAAATAATAAAAAATTAAGTAGACAAGAAAGATTTTTTCAGCACATTCCACCTTTCTGATAACGTCTTATCCTACAGGCTGCACCAAATTGGAAAACAATCTAGACACCTCCTTAGAATTTTTACAAAGGTACTACTATGCCCTATTGCATACCACAGAGATCACCAGGAGGTCAAAATAACAAACATTCTCACCTGGTCATCGGCTATAATATTAATTTGGCTCCTCTGCCAACAGTCGAACTTCTTATCAATGAGATCTGCATGATTTTTCTCTGGACCCGGGGAAACTTTAGCTAGAAGCTTTAATATTTCATTTCTCAAACTTTTTTTTCTTTCTGGAAGCTGCCAAAAGTAGGTAATAAGTCAACAGCCAACTAATAAAAGAACACAAAATAATCAGCCTTCCATGAAACAAGAGGATTTGATTGCATCAGCCAAAGTAAAAATATATACAGCATAGGAAGCAGATGCACTTTCCCCATCTTGCTCTTCTTTTCATGCACCAGGTATCATATGTTTCAGTTTCTACCCAAATCTTGCTTTGACAATTGGCTAAAAACTTTTTAAGTATTATTCTTGGAGCATTACTCAATTCTAGCTACAAATTATTATACAGTTCAATAAAACAAAACTGAAGAATTTCAGCAACTAACAAAAAATATCAATGTGTGCTTTGAAAGACTTCCTTTCAATATTGATTGCCAACACCTCTTTAATATTTTAAAAATAAATCAATGTGTGCTGGCGAGAGCCCCAAAAACAGAACATGACTCTGTCAGAAGAAATTCTCTTTTACAGATTTATCGATACTGGAGTGCAACAATGATAGAAGCTCATTACTAAAATAATGAAAGACGAATATCAAAATGTAGGCAGCTTCCAAAATCTCAGACCAAACATCCAAAAGAAAGAGGATGTGTCGAAAGTTCATAAGCCTGTTTGATTCCACTTCTCAAAAATAATATAATTACCTTAGTCAATTCAACATTACAAGCTCCTGTCGCTCTCTCAAGTCGGTTTTCATACTGTTTGAAGAGGCTCTGAGCTTCTGAAGAGAGAAATAGGGAAGCATTCTCTAGCTCCCATGAAGCATGTTCATAATCAAGGCCACACCATTTTACAAGCCATTGGTAATGGCACATTGACACGTCAATACCCTCCTCATGTCTATCATGTTCACTATGAAATTGAGGAGAAGTTATTAAACGCTTCTGCAGTAGACGCCTTGGTAAAGTCCACTCTGACTTCCACGGTACCACCTGAAGAAATAAAGACATACTGAATAGCCAAAAAGGGTAAAAGAATAGACACAATACTGAAATCTCTCAGATTTAGGACAATCACTTCAGCAATTTAACAAGTATCATCAAAGGAGAAATACTTGAACCATTTACCTGCTTCGTCCGAAGAAAACTAGCAACTAGAGAAGGGCATTGAGCAGCCACCTCAGCTTCCGGTAACCATAGATTGTGAAAATGAGCGAGTCCTTTGTATTTAACAAAAAATTTCTTCTGCTTTTGACACCCTGAGATTGAAACAACAGTAAGATTACTCAAAAGATACAAATCAACACCGGAGTAAGTTACTCAACAGAGATACAAAAGGATACAAAAATTAAGCAACGCTAATGAAAACCATCTTCTCATATTTTCCCCATACCATTAGGATCCAATTCTTCCGCTTCCCTGCAATCCCAAATGAACTCTACTCCTTCAGAGACTGAATAGGCACCATACTTCATCATCTTCCTAACACATGCAAGACAGTGCCAAACTCCTGGGGGAACATCATTAAGAGGAGGATCCAAACAGGAAAGATGGTAGTTTTTTTGGCACCCAGCTCCATCGCAGCACCTGAAAATTGTATGTACTATTTCAGAAAGCACCATGCAAACTACTAGCCCTTCAAAATGAAGGAAACATGCTGTATTGCATTTTGAATTACACTATAAAAACAGCTCAGAGAGTCAATTTTGAAGAGGACAAGAGCTATTCATATCATTGAACGTTGTGAGAGATGTATCAGAGCCCAGGAAAATGATTCACAACTACCACTAGTTTCCATTAGCATAGCCCATAGAATGGCAAATTCCGCTGCCTGCTTTTTTGCTCGTGTCAATGGGCAGTAAGGAGCGAATCATCTCATCCAAATATATCTCGAGGATGTACTAAAAAGTGTCGCCAAAGATGTATTACTTTACAAAACTACAAGATAAAAGCTCCTCAGAAACTATAATAGAGCAAAACCAATGCAAAGAGAAAAACCCTTGACCAAATCTAAGGAATGAATCAGCTTCAAACTCTGTTATTAGTGAAGCAAACAAGGCTGCAGTCTTAAAGTCAGACACCATAAGTGGGGCCATGGTAATAGTGATTTTCATTAAGTGAATATTTTGACAGAGGATAGTCATAGCAAGCACTCCTTGTATGAAAACTTTGTCTAGCCACCCACTGTTTTGTTCATCATTCATCCTTCAGAAACAAATATTAAACTGAAGAAAACTCCAAAAATTTGTGCAAATCTCAATTTAATGTTTTTAAAAGTATATCGAAAGAACAAGGTATGACTGAAAGGGAATAATTCTCAGCAGACGGAGTATAAACAGATAACCTAAAACAAGCTCATGACAATTAAGCAGAGCAACGAGAAGCACTAAAAAAACAGCAAAAAGTGATTATGTTATGCAAAGCACAGTAGGCAAATTTACTAAGAAGAAAGGGCAAAAAATATAGCAAAGCGTCAAGGATTTCTCACAAGAGTTTTCCCCCAAGCTTGCAGATACAGCATGTACTCTGTCCACTTTCTGCATCAGTATTTACCAACACATGCAAGTTCTGCTTTTCACCAAGTTCCAAGTTCACAGTGGCTTCAGGCTCCCCACTATCCTAACATAACATTAACAAAGACAAGCATGCATCATGCCAAGGTCACTGACATCTAAAGAAGAATATATAGTTAAACAGCCAAAAGACTAATACATCCACTTGGTGAAAAGAACAGAAATGTTACAGGGGTAAAAGCAATTTGTCGCCAATAACTCAGATATACTGTAGGTTTATCATATTATCACTCCAAGAAAAGGAACCGGATGTAAAATATAGCGGGCTTTAATACCTTTTTCTCTTTGAGTTTATACCATCTATCTGGACGAAATTGCGCTCTGCAGAGGTAACATTTTGACATCCAGCCATGGCTGACGCATTGGACATCAAGTAAACCGAGTTGTTCTGTTTATCAGGGACGTCTTCTTGACCTTTTTCTAAACAAACATGACCATCTAAAGACCTTCCATTCCTGCTAAAATCCATTAATTCAGACTGCTTCTCCAGTGAGGAACGGTTCTCTACCCTTCCCGAGTCATTATTTGGATCTGCCAGTACTACTTATGAGTTGAAAATACAGAGACATCATGATCTGGAGAAAAACCATGTTTGCATCTTTAGACTCATTACCTTGTTGAGTAAAATGGCTGTTTTGCCTGAGGCAAGTGTTTTCCTCATTTTGTTTTTCCACTATTTGTGTCATGGATTCCACACCATCTTTAGTCTTTTGACTACGATCACTACAATTATCGACTGCATCAACTTCCTCTGGATCAACAGCCCCGGAATTGATGTGTTCCTGCTGAAAGGACTTGTTTGGACGACTCAACTCCTCACGACAATCTACAAGCCCAATGATCACAGTCAAGTAAATAATTAAGTAAGTTCCATAGATGCACAAATAAAACAAACTGCTACTGTTGCACATGCACATGCATTCCACAGGTGACTATGTCGAAACAATTAAACTTATATCTTAAAAGAAAAGAAAAAAGTGTCCAGCTAAACAAGGTTGAGGATGAGAAATGCGAAGTCCACCAAAGTAATGATAATGTAAAGTTTAAACTAGAAAAGTCCTCCACCCCGATTGTTTTCTGCAATGTGACCCACTGGAAAATAGAAAAGTGAATCCAAAAAACTTGCCCATTTTGATCATATACATATTTTGTAGCTCAACATATAAAAAGGAATTCTGGCCAAAAAAAACATATAAAAAGCAACAAATATGAGACAATGCCTTATTTAGGTCATCTGACCTACAGATGTAAGAACAAATGACACGTATGAATCCAACAATAATTCCTGCAACAACTACACTGAGAAATTTTAAAATTTCATACTTTTAATACGAATGACAGGAAGTTGACCAATGCACATGTCATGAATATTTAGCACATGATGGAAGGAAATGTGGTATAACAACAACAAGATCTTGTTCAACAGATTGTCCAAAAAAATCTTTTAATAAATTGTTTGAGCAATAACGACCCCAGCCAAAGTACCTCTATGAAACCTTCATATAGAAAGTATAACAGGGTCAATGTATTCAAACAGTTTCACCACATCCATAAATATAACCTTGATAAAACACACGATGATCTAGTAAACCTGCCTTTTTCATTTATGAGGCAATCATAGAACTACTAGTTCCAGCAGAATGGGAAGATTTTAGCAAAACAGAAAATAATAGACCTGATGCTTTATCCTTGTTTCCTAATTTCCTGAATAGTGCTCTATAAGCACGAGCACTCAATCTCTCTGTCTTCATCTGGGTAGAAGTTGGTTCTTCTTCATTACTTTTGCTAGATTCCTTATCTTCCACTTCCAATTGTTTTGCATTATTCTCTTTCTTTTCCATTTGGTTTTGCCTATCAGATGACTCCGACCTTCTAGCAGGCTTCTTTGATATTGGAGAATTTGAGGAATGCCGCAGTTTCTTGCATCTCTCAGACCTCCTCACTGGACTTGGCGTCCTTTGTCTCTTCACCTTCTCAGGATCCTTAGAAACTGAAGTAGGTGGTGTTTGCTTCTCAAGTCGCTCCGACTTCTCAAGTCGCTCCGACTTTCGAGTGGTCGGAAAGCTTGGAATCATTGGTTTCTTGGATGATGACTCCCTGGTTGACCTTCTCAGTCCATATGAATCTGATGCAGAGTGTGATGTACTCGATCCCTTACCACCGCTATGCACCTTGTTTGTACTTTTTTCCCTAATTTTGCAACTGGATCGAGTTTGATTTACCATATTTTTATCTGCAAATCACCAAAAATCACAACAATCCCTTTATCCTTTCACGAAACTTCAATCAAACATTTATCATTAATTATCTGTGCCTAATAGATGCTTCAATGTGTCCTTAGGAATACTCTTTGAAAATCTTAATATAAAACATATAGCTAATTACAGAGTTTTCAATCCCCAAGATAGTCAATAAAGAGTGCCTCAAAGTTCAAACTACAGAAGTATACAAGACGGAAAACCCATAATATACACACAACTTAACTATTCTTATGATGTTCATGGACAACGCTGGATGAACATTTACAACATATATACCTGCGAATTGAATAACACGCAGCCCTAAAGAGTTTTCTGGGTCAAATCCCTAAAGAGTTGAATAGTGCCACTTGTACAGTCAAAACAAGAGTAAATCAATACTGCTTCATGGAGCACCAAAATTTCCCCACTTTTCAAAATCATGTTCTTTTGTTTCATTTGTCACACGCCGGCAACCAAAGGAACCATAGAGATCCACTGCTATCTTTTCTTTCTCCTTGCTTTCTCTAGGTATCCAAAAAGTATGATATGTGCACAGTCACTTCTGCTATGCATGTCTTTTCGTGTTTCTAACGATTAATAATGACCTCACTTCACTAGGCCCCATTTTGTTTCAATACACCGGTGCAACACGAAGCCGCTGACATCAATGCAATCCAAAATTCAATCACAGGTGTCAGATCACAAGAAATAAAAGGTGGAACTCAGACAATGTGGGATTTCTGGAAGAATTGCTGAAAAGAATGCGGCATCCCAAACCACAAGAAACACAATGAAAAGATAGAAAAATCCACAAAACATGAGATTTCTTACATGCATTAGTGTAACAGATTGACTTGCATTAATTACAACTGTTCTGGCCTAGACTCAGCTGTAAACCCTTTACATAACAAACATACCGAGATCAAACTTGAACCTTCACATCCAAAAGTTCTTTTTAGAACCAAAATAAAGGGTCAGTTTGGAGTGAGCTTTTACCATTTACTTTTGACATTTTTGACAATTTTTTTAAAATACTCCAGCTCATGCAATTTGACACTAATTTAGCACGGAACACCCGAAACATTTCGAAACATACAAAGATTAACATGTAGATTCGCATATACTATTTTCATAATTTTGTAGAGTTTAATAATATTCAAAGTTTTGATAAGGATAGTCGATAAGTAAATTTTTGCTTGAAATAAGACACTACAATCGCACCCTTACTTTAAAAATAAGGAAAATATCCCACTGCAAACCAACAGAGATGCATGAGAGATATTTTGTAATCTAGTGGCAACTAACTGTTGAACTTCCAACAATTTTGACGCTGATATCTTTTTAGTTCTTTCAGTCTATCACACATGACTGACGAAAATTTGGATGGATCTTTGGACACGTTGATTTTGCGAACTAGAAAAGGTCTCCATTGAGCTGCATTCAACATCAAGCAATACCTGGAGTCTATTGGTACAAGAGCGCGGTATCACTGGCTTACCAATCAACCTTGAAGGTAAGCTCCAGGGAGCAACACAGCAAGATATGCAATGCTTGGCCACTTACAAGCCTTTCTTGTGGATTCAACTACAGAAATTACAGTAATAAGGCTTCCTCAGTGGCTTCTTGCTTACTCGTGTCTCGCTAGGAAAATAAAACTTCATTGTTTTAAGGTTGAAAAGCAGGGTCTTGGATCGTATACGTAGTCATACCAAGAGACATTCTAATTTATTTCGGCATCAAAACCTAGTGCCCACTATACTTCAAGCACGAGATTGAACAAGACTCTGGTTTCAAAGACAAGGAAGTACAGCTGCTCTTTCAACCATATCCAAGGTTGACTTGCATGTGCTTGATGAGGCATGGATTGGAGTTTTGACAGTTAAACACATACACAAAGCACGTGAGCCAAGGTAATTAGAAACAAACACAATGCACTTTCTCAACTCAAAGCAAGGAAATGGAGAAACGAAAACAACCTTCAGGTCTTTTGAAGCCACTACAAAATTTTAACCCCGACCCGTCGGTCGAAAGCATGGGAATCGCAGGATTCACTAACAGACAAGAGTATCTACAGACACAAAAAGAAAGAGTTGATCAACCCAAAGTATGTTTCTCTAAAGGAACTGTCAGACACAAACTTAAGGATCTGCATGCAAGAATTTTCGGTCACGACCGTCAGTTCACTGAAGAAAAAAAAAACCAAAACGAAACCCCTAAATCTCCACGTTAAGCCATCAACCCCACTCGAAACCCACAAAAACCCCAGAAGCAGGAGCCGAACTCATCTCCGCGACCGCCGGCCCAGACCTAATTGCAGGTCGGCGGCGAAATCCAAGCCCCACCCCGCGGCGATCCCGCGGATTCACGAGCGCAAATCGACCTGGAAAACTTCAAACGCGGGGCCAATGCAGGAAGACGTCCGAAGCCTAGCGTTGAAATTCCGAGCTCTCGCCGACAAGGCTAAGGAAGGGGAGCGCTAAAAAAAGAGCGCAGCGACGCCACAACGCTACGGCCCCGACGGAGGAACTAGCGGCCCCCCCCCCCCCCCCGGCCCGAGGGCAAAGAACGTCGCGACCGAGCTCTAGAGAGAGAGAGAGAGAGAGAGAGAGAGAGAGAGAGAGAGGCATTACCTGCTCGAGAGAGAAGGAGAGTCGCGTCGCGCACAGGAGGAGGAGGAGGAGGAGGAGGAGTGGGATTGCTGCTGAACGAGGAAGATCGCGCGCTCAGCAGAGAGAGAGGGAGAGAGGGATTTGCCAGTGGATTTCAACTTTGGCCGGTGTAATGGTGGTGCCATGGATGGAACAAATGCCTTCTTTTTTCGCTTTATTAGGCAATCGCATAAATAAGTGACATTATTAAAGACTAAAGTTGAGCAAGATTGATTGTCCATATTGGGACCGGACCAATCGGTTTGATCCGGTTCTCGAAAATATCGATCCGGTTCCCAGTTCTTAAAAGTAGAATTAATTTTCGGGCGATCCGGTTCCCGGTTCTAGGATGGGAACCGAACCGATAAATATATATAATTTCTAATTGTTTCATATATATTTATTTACTTTTTAAAATTTTTGAAAAAATAGAAAGCCTAATATAATTTTCCCAATTTCATCTTGCCTTCACCGGTAAGTGATTTGTCCCATTAGAAACGGATTGTACTGGATCGGGTCCGGTCCACAGTCTCAAGACTAGCCGGTCCGATCTCCGGTCCTAGAAACTGGGAACCGGTTCTGTTCCCGATTCTTGAGTTGGACCGGATCGGATCGGGAACCGCTCACCCCTATTAAAGACGGTGTTGTAGTCTTTGACATGTGGAGCCCTCGGGCTTCATAATGGATCATGCTTGGCGGACGTCGTGAAGGAATGCTCCGACCCAAAAAAAAAAAAGACATTGTGGTAAATTTGGGGTGATATTTAGAGAGCCTACTACACAAACCACATGTGTCTATATGTATGTATACAAACCAAATCCTAGCAATTGATGAGTAAGCTAGGAGCTAGCAATTCGTGCCATTTTGTCTCGCGATTTGGTGGCTAGTTTGGATTTGAATCTTAGTCAGCTCGCGACCGCGGGGCTATTTTAATCCAAACAATGTAGATTCATTATTAAAACTTGTCATGCAACGAGACGAGTTAGGAACACGAATTCACGCAATGGCAGCCTATATGAAAATCCAATGAAGTCACAAAATGTACTTACCATATCGAGTCTGTCTCTTAATAAAAGTTGCCGAAATTAAAACCGCAATTATTTATTTGATTTAAAATTACTATTTAAATTCATTCATTTCCACTCACTAATTTTCCCTGTTATTTCGATTTCCCCGTGTTGATGAAAATCGAGTAAGCACTTTTCATTCAGAGTTTGGAAACCAATGTTGGTTGTAGTTATTTTAAAGGGATTCAATTGTCTACATGTTTTAGTTTTTACACTTGAATTAATGAATATAAAAAGCACATAGAGTATGTTTAATGAACCGGATATAATTCCGAATACAATTTTTAATCTATCATGTATTTGGTGACGTACTCCAAATGAGATAAGTCGAGAGAAAAATTGGTTATGTAACTATTTAATATGAAGATGGAAGAGACAAAGAAAAGAGATGATGAACAAAGGTTTTTAATTCCTTGGAAGCCTACATCCACCGTAATTATCCTATATTTCTTAACTTCTTCGGAAAGATTCATTCTCCTTAAATAAAAAAAAGTACATCGTAGTTGCTAAACATAGACTATGATTTTTATGGTAAATACAGCTATTACACATTATAACTTGATCCTCCATCTTATCATAACTTGCCAAGTTTATCTCGCCAACACTCCTCCTCCAAGTTGGGGTGAAGATGTCTTCGGAGGTCAACTTGGCCAACATTTGTTGAAAGGAAAATTTCAAATCAGTATCCAAAGTTGGGTCATTTTCTCAAAAAGGAGTCCAAAGTGGACATAGTGCCAAATAAGGGCCTGAAGTGCCCCATCAGTCTCAAATAGGGTTCCGAAGTGCCCAATCAGTCTCAAGTAAGGGCCTAGATTCGTCGGCCGGTCAAATGTTCACTGGCCGGTAAGCACATCACTGTTCTGGAGATCGAAACAAGGGCAATTTCGTCTTTTACTTTTTAACGGCGGAGGGAAAAGAGGAAAAAAAAAAAAGAAAAGGAAAAGGAAAAGAAAAAACATAAAAAGGAAAAAAGAAACAAAAAAAATAAAAAGTAAAAGACGAAATTGCCCTTGTTCCGATCGCCGGAAGAGTGACGTGCTTGCCGGCCAGTGAGCATTTGACCGGCCGACGAACCCAGGCCTTTACTTGAGACTAATTGGACACTTCGGACCCCTATTTGAGACTGATTGGGCACTTCATGCCCTTATTTGGCACTATGTCCACTTTGGACCCCTTTTTGAGAAAATGACTCCATTTTGGGTACTGATTTGAAATTTTCCCTTTGTTGAATTACTCCTTTAGAAAGAGGTTTAGTAAACAAATCAGCATGTTGTTCTTTGCTTCGAACATAAGGAGCCTCGATAGTTTTGTCCTAAACTTTCTTCTCGAACAAAATGACAATCAACTTCTATGTGTTTTATTCTTTCATGGAATACTAGATTTGATGCAATGTGAGTTGCAGCTTGGTTATTATAAAATAGCTTCATAGGAGCACGAGGTCCTTCAAGACCAAAGTCACACAATAGCAGGTGAAGCCAAACCAATTCACATGGGCAGATGCCATAGTTTAGCTTTAGAACTCAAACGAGCAACCACGCTTTGCTTTTTGCTTTTCCACATAACAAGATTAGTCCCTACAAGAGTACAAAAATCAGTGAAGGACCTCCTATCAGTGGGACTGCTAGGTCAATCGGCATCAACATATCCTACAACCTCTGTGTGATCATGTTTCTTCATAAGAATACCACGTTTTGGACATGACTTCAAATACCTTAATATATGGTTGACAAGCTCCATGTGACCTTCAGTCAAAGCATGCATAAATTGACTCACAAAGCTAACGGCGTATGAAATGTCCAATCAAGTGATAGCCAGATAATTAGCCGACCAACTAATCTTTGAAACTGACCAAAATCTTGGAGAAGAGTAGTATTTTATATCACTTTGTTCCCAAAGTCCATAGGAGATTGTGCCTGTTTGGCCTAATTTTCTTTAACAGATCCAATGCATATTTTTTCTGTGAGATAAACAAGACTTTATAGGAACTGACAACTTCAATTTTAAAGAAGTATTGCAACCGGCCCAAATCTTTGATGTCAAACTTTTCATGCAAATATTTTTTAAGAGTTTCAATCTCCTGTAGATTTTCACTAGTAATGACAATGTCATCAACATAGATTAATCCTATCACAATTCTCATAGAATTTTTCTTAACAAATAGAGAATGCTCAAACTTACTCATTTTCAATCCAAATGTCACAAGGGCTATACTCAACTTTTCATACCATGCTCGAGGTGATTGCTTGAGACCATAGATTGCCTTATTGAGTTTGCAAACGAATCATTGATTTTCTAAGGGGTGACCAAGAGGGAGGTCTATATACACTTCTTCTTCAAGCTCTCCATGAAGGAAAGCATTCTTGACATCCACTTGGAACAAACACTAACCACAATTGACAACAACTGACATGAGAACTCTCAGAGTATTTATCTTTACTACATGAGCAAACGTTTCTTTGTAGTTTACTTTACATGTTTAGGTATATCACTTGGCCACCAATCTAGCTTTATGTCTTTCAACTGAACCATCACTTTGCAGTTGATATTGTAAATCCATCGACAATCTCCTAGATGTTTTCCAATAAGTGATTGAATAATATCCCAAGTCTAATTTTTATCAAGAGTTTGGAGTTCCTCATCCATGGCCTTTCTCTACACAGTTGATTGTTGCACCTCGAGAAAGTTTGGAGGCTCAATGTTTGTGTCTATAGCTGATATGAAGATACAAAACTATGGAGATGTAATCATAACAAACATAAGACTGTACGGGATAGGTCGTAGATGATTGCTTCATGACAAAGTCTTGAAGATGAGTTGAGGGTTGAGATGCTCGGGTAGATCGACGAACTGGAGTTATTTCTTGGACATGATCAGGAATTAAAGTAGTTGTATCTTGATTAGGAGTGTCTCTCCCATTTCTCTGGTTCTCATCAATTACCAAATAATTGGAAACAATCGGTAATGGATCAAATTCCATATCGAATTCATTGTAATCATAGTTGTTAGTATTGTTACCACTATTTTCCTCTTGAATTTGATCCCTGAATGGAAAATACATGTGAGTTTCATCAAACGTGACATCCCGAGAAATAAGCATTTTTTTTGCGGAGGGATCAAAGCATTTATAACCCTTTTTTAACACTAGAATATCCCAAAAAAATGCATTTATGTGCACAAGGATCAAATTTACTCCGTGATGAAGTGTAAACGTAGCACACACAATCGAATACACGGAGATGAGAGAGATTAATCGACCGGCCAAGGAGCACTTCCATAGAAAATTTGTATTGCCACACCTTACTAGGAAGACGATTGTTTAAATAGCAACTTGTTAGAACAACATCTGACAAAAATTGTCAAAGTAAGTTTCCATGAAATAGAAGATATCGTGTTACCTCAAGGAGATGATGGTTTTTTCTCTCCGCGACCCCATTTTGTTGGAGAGTTTTAATACATGAAGTCTGGTGTGTAATACCTAGACTTTTGAGAAAAGACTCAAAGGCGTGATTGGTGTATTTAGTCCCATAATCAGTACGTAATGTTTTAATCCGAGCACCAAACTGTGAATTGATCATTTGTAAATTCCTTGAAGACTATCAATACTTCACTTTTAGAGGAAAGCAAATAAAGCCAAGCAGTTCGAGATTTATCTTCTATAAGCGCAATAAAATACTTAAAACCATCTCGAGATTCAACTAGTGCATTACCCCAAACATCTGAATAAATCAACTCAAATAGTTCAGATGCATTATTTGCCCTTTGAGAAAAATGCAATCTATGTTGTTTAGCAAAATACAAGTTTTAAGAGCTTGAATCTAGAGAAAAAGTAGGATCAATGGACCATAACACCCGATCAAATGAATGCCCGTACACCGATGCCTTAGTTGAGATGATAAGTCTTTATCCTGGCTAGCAACCAAAACCGTACTCGAAAAATCAAGAGTGCATAGCCCCTTTTGAGACTGACCTCATCTTCCTCCATGTG